GAGTACCCTCTTATACACAATCATCTTCATTTTTTTCAATATTTGTGCTTTGCAACCGATCACACATCATTCATAGCTTTTCTTCCAGCATTTACATATCTTAAAATTTGTTTACTCATTTTTCTATTTTTAGTAAGCATACTTCCATGATACATGAAGTCATCTACTTATTTTTTAACTGTTTACATACAAATTGTATTTGCATTCCCGCAGCATTCAGAATTGAACCTGCACTGAATGACTGCTTTGATGAAAAAGAGAAGTGGCTTAAGGTCTTGCATCCTTCTACTGATCTTTACTCTATCTTCATATTTTTAGAGTGAGATAGTCCTGTGGGTTCCATTGATATGATAAATGAAAGACGAAGAATAGCTGAGCTTTAATTAGAAAGGATACTTTTGATTCAGAGACTCGACTAGTATTCCAACTGCCCTCTCATATATCTTGCTAATATCACATTCTTCAGAAATGCTGAACTTTGCTATCATTTTTGTTTCTATTTTAAATGGTAGCATCCAACTGAGAGAAGGAAGCTCTTTCTCCAGCTAGGATTTTTCCAGATGTGCTGGGCATGCCAATCAATGTAAGAAGATGAAGCCAAAACATCTGGAGGCACCCAGTTGAGAAAGTTTAAAATTTACAAAGAAACTTTCTATGTTCTTTGCTTTCTCTACTCTTCTACTCAGCTCTGCATCTTTTACTGGCATAGATGCTTCTTTTCGCCAATGCTACATTTCTTCATTAGTTTCATGGCAGCTTGGATGCACCATTGTTTCCAACAGTAGATCCAGTGATCACAATACAAAATGGAGGGGTTAAAGTTACAACCTTTTAATTAGCTTCTAGCCTTCTAGTTCAGGGGGTGTCAAACTGCCGGCCCACGGGCCAGATGCGTCATGGCAAAACCGCACCCACCCTATTGCTGGCAACAGAAAAAAAGTCATGATACATCGCAATACATCACATGACATTGCGAGTTTGACACCCCTGTTCTAATTCAATCCTTCCATTTAGAAATGGAGAGAATTACAGTATGCTGTAAGAGTCTCTAGCTCCGGGTAGAATAGTGACCGTAAAACATCAAGAAGAGATGCTCCTATTTAAATATTGGGAACTCAGGAGTTTAAAGTTGGGAAAATATTGCCCAGTTATACATTCCCTAAACATCTGGGGATTTTGGTTTGGCTTGTCCTATTCCAGGTTTGTCACAACAAATTCTGGTATAGCCCATTCAATGGATAAGCTGAAAAATATGTTATAATAGGTTTCACTTCATATGTCCCCAACACCTAAGTTATCCCAAGTTAATTTATTCCCTTGGGTAGAGCTATACATCACTACCTAATGATCGAAGAGTAAGACTAAGTAAGACTCACAGGACTAAAATCCCACCAGCAGCCCATCCTTCCTTGATAGTGACAATGTAATTATCATTCTCATTGGTAATAAACAATTTGTTGTCTTTTCACGACATTAGATCTACTCCACGAAGAGGCTGAATTTTACCTTGGATGTGAATGTGCTGCCTAATCCCAGGTCCAATTGCAACCTTGGAACTAGGCCAAACTGGTGATGCTGCATAATAGTTACCTATTTGTTTATAAATATTGTGTCCCCTACAGAAAGGGAAATAATGTTAATATAAAAAGGAAGACATCAAATATATTTTACTGCATTATATTTTAGAGTATATATTCTGTTTAATTATTTAAATTTTATTTTTGGCTACTCTGTGTAACATACCACTGGAATGATAGGAAAGAATTTACCTCCAAAATAATAATTACATAATTTTAAAAACACAGTTTAAAAACATCAGGATATTACAAACATGTCCAGTCCACCAAACTGCAGCTGCAAAAAAGCAGAAATAGAAATGCTAAACTCCCTCTCCTCATTGCCCAGGTAAAATAGTCCTACCTTTTCTAAAAGAGAGAGTAAAGCAATTTGCTGGGCTCTTTGTGGGTAGAGTAGAAATGGATTCTGGTATGACTTGAACTTCGGTCTCTCTGAATTCCCTTAAATAACTTTAATTAAGAGCAGACCACAGGCCTCTTCTCAAGTTCTGAATCATTTGGCTAACCATCATGTTTCTGGAATAGCTAGTGTGTCCAAAGTATTGGAAGGACTTAGTTTCATCTTGAACAGACCAGAAATGGTCAGAAGAACAGTGGAGCATAAAACCAAAACCAAATGGGAATGCCTTCTAGTTCTGTCATTTTCAATTCTTTTGTTTTTTGTTGTTTTGCATTTTGCACAAATCAAATTTTCCAGAGGGAGAAGGATATTGGTATGTCCAATTTGTGAGCTTGTTCACATTGTCTTAGTAGACATGGCTTTTCTTTCCTGGGTGAATTAAAGCACCAGTTTATAAACTGACACAATACTTGCTTACCTAGTCATCTGCATGTCAAAGAATGAATTATTTGATTAAATATAAATTCAATTGTAAATTTTTTAAAAAAGCATTCAAATTGATTATTACCAGGTGCAGTGTTATGGGAATGCCAAAGTACCAGTATCAAACAGCCTGAACAAATATACAAATATTTTTCTAGTTCCAAACGTGCAGATAGAACATTTTCCCTAGTAGTGATTTAACTAAAGTTTAACTTAATTAAGTTTAATGAGTAAATGGATTAAAGCTGCTATCCAATATACATATACTGGGAACGAATCCCAAAAGACTTCTGTCTGAGTGAGACACATCTAGGATTGTGAGATAATATTTGTGGAACCAAGGAGAACATTTTGAATTATTTGCTGTCAGTGTAACTGGTTTGCTTTGGCTCTGAATATTCAAATCAATGTTGTGAGGAATTAATTTTGCTATTCAAACATTTTCTAGGATAGTCACACAACGTGGGCTCTAACCTTTGCTTGAACTTCCTGCTTTTCTATATATGTGAGCATTTCATAAAGGTTGTCTCTTAACCAAAAGAGAAGCCTGGCATTTGTGCTTAAAGAGTACAAATAAAGAGCCATGGTGGCCCAGTGGTTAGAATGCAGTATTGCAGGCTGACTCTGCCTACTGTCAGGAGTTCACTCCTGACTGGCTCAAGGTTAACTCAGCCTTCCATCCTTCCAAGGTTAGTAAAATGAGGATCCAGATTGTTGAAGATAATATGCTGACACTGTAAACTGCTCAGAGAGGGCTGTAAACACTGTGAAGCAGTATATAAGTCTAAGTGCTATTGCTATTAAAGTGTGCAATAGCAGGCCAATTAGTGTTTCCCCCCCCCCAACTAACTATCCCCACTCCAGATCATTAAAAGAAAAAACCTATCTCGGAGAAAAGTGCTTGTAATCTGTTAGATGTCATGTAGGATGTTAACAGATGGGTCCTGATGGAGTAAGTGAAAACTACTCTTGCTAAATTTCCAATTTATCTTGCATGTAGGATTTTATTTCCTTCAAATGAGATGAAACAAAGATGGGGAAGTTAAGTATGCAGAATAAATTGTATCAATTGTGTGAATATGATGTTCCTTCTTTTGGACAACATTGTGGCAAAGTGGTCATAGCAGCAACAGCAGAAGATTATGTTAGAAATAACGCAAAAATTCATGTTTACTTTTTTCTTTTAGGGTAGACTACAGGCTTTTTATTACAATGAAACTTCTCTAACTCTTCTCTCTCTCTCTCTCTCTCTCTCTCTCTCTCTCTCTCTCTCTCTCTCTCTCTCTCTCTCCCTCCCTCCCTCCCTCCCTCCCCCCTCCCTCTCTTTTTCTCCCTGCAAGCCTTGCAAATGCAGACCCAATAACGCCTCTACAACCATCATAGCTTCCATAAAAACATGTATAATTCTTCAGTATGTTCGTAAAGTCTTTTTCTTTTCAACCAGCCAAGCTGACTAGGACAAAAACACGGGCAAGGGTTGGTTGCAGACATTTTCAGCTTCTGTATCCATCTGAACGTAATACATGTCTGTTTGAATTCTGCTTTGATGAATAGAATGGATATCTGTGAGTGATTTCCCTCCCCCCCTTGAATACTGGGCTTTGTAGAGTTGGAACACCTTGCTTCTCAAGTTGAATGAATTGATGGATGGCAGCACTCAGCCGGCTGGATCGGTCTCAAGGCTTTGAAATCCAAAACTTGAATGAAGGACTAATTCTAAACCAAATTTAGAAATAGAATGTGGTTTTGATCATTCTAAGGCAGCGTTTGCAAATGATAAATATTCACTAACGCAGGCATTGAGGCAGCACCAATTAACAGCGTAGTCAGGCCAAGTGTTGCAAGGGAGAAAAAAAATCAATATATATTTTTTTGTCCGTAATCTTTACTTATTTATTGGAGGGGGGGAACTGGCAGGGCAAAAAATGTATTCCACTTCTAGAAATATGGTTATTGAGGAATGCTGCTTGGTTCAAAACCTTATAAGGACCAGTACAGAAGATATTAATGCTGGAAGCTTGATCCATTAATCTAGGGAAGGAAAATTGCCATGATATATTTGCTGTTGAAGACCAGCCAATATTTTTAGCTTCTGCTACTCTGAACCTTTCTTTACAGTAATTAGCCTATATTTGCATATGTGAAAGAAAAAATAGTGTAGCCGATAGAAAACTGCTTCCTAGGGATAAATGCTCTATTTTATAAAGAAATTCAGGAATGGGAGAAAACTCAGTATTCTTTTTTTCCCCTCTGCGTATTTTTTAATTTTATTTGTAGGATTAATGACTAAAAATATAGAACTCTTATCTTTTTACCAGTAAACATTTGAAAAGAAAGCTGTTATAAATCTACAGTCGTGGATGTATAGTTATGAAATAGTTTGGGGAGATAATTCTTTTGTAAGAATGTGGTGCAATCTTGGAAGAAAGCCTTCAGGCAGTCAAGAAATCCTCTTGGGTGATACAAACTAGACTGAAACAAGCAGCAACATGTGCTGCACTCAGCAAGTATTCTAAATCAAGCTATAGGGTTTCAGCGTATTGAGATGGAACAATTAATTCTGGCTTCTGACTGTCAATGTTTGTGTTTCCCACATTCAGGTTTTCATTCGTTTGGTACATGTTGGTGAAACACACGTAAAGAGACTATTCAGGAATGGTGGATCACTTGCTTCCTGCGGATGAAACTTTCTCATCCACCAGGCCCTCCATTGGATACTTTGGGGACATGACAGCTGTTGGCAGGTCATACCAAATGCTGCCTTCACCAGTGTCTGAAGATGATAGTGATTCCTCAAGTTTTTGTTCTTGTTCAAGCCCAGATTCACAGGTTCTAGGCTCCAGCTATGGGAGTTCATCAAATGCTGAGAATCAGGACAGTATCTTGGACTATTTATTGTCCCAGGCATCTTTGGGGAATGGCCATGCTTCTTGGTGGGATAAAAGGAGACTTCAGCCCATTGTGAAGGAGGAGAATTTTAGAATGCCTGAGTTCACAGTGGAGATGGAAGATTCTGGACCATTCCAGCCCACCCTTGAGGAGATAGAGGAGTTTCTGGAAGAAAACATGGAGACTGATCTCAAAGAAGGACCTAAGAGTGAGACCAAAGATATGAGAGCTTGCAGCCAAATTACTGTAGCTTCCATACAGCAAAAAGACCAGATGGTACCAAGTGTTACTTTAAAAGACAGTAAAAATGAACAGTCAAATGGTGCAATGGAAGGCAGCCATACGTCTAACGGAGCAATGTCCCTTGATGGAGGGATACCAGTCATGCTCCAGATCCAACAAGTTCAAGTTAAGCAAACGTCAGATGTGAGTCCTAGTTCACAAGGACCAGTGCAAGAAAACATTAAAGTTGCACAGCTCTTGGTCAACATCCAAGGGCAAACTTTTGCATTGGTGCCACAACTTGTTCAATCATCCAACCTGAACTCATCTTCCAAATTTGTCCGCATAGCTCCAGTTCCGATAGCTGCAAAACCTATTGGTCCAGGAGGTACAATGCAGGGTCAAGCTGGGGTTATCATGGGTCAGAAGTTTCAAAAGAATCCTGCAGCAGAACTCATTAAAATGCACAAATGTACTTTTCCTGGATGTACCAAGATGTACACTAAAAGCAGCCATTTGAAAGCCCATCTAAGAAGGCACACAGGGGAAAAACCCTTTGCATGTACTTGGCCTGGCTGTGGATGGAGGTTAGTACTGTCATTGGTGGTTGAAACTGATTCATAAATTCTACTGTGCACCTAATGAACAAAGTAATTGGAGCATGTTCCCTTAAAATTTGGTAACTTTCCAGAAACAATTGTGTTTATATTACAGGACATTGGGCTTTATAAAAAAAATACTCAGTGGTATCCCATTTATAAAAGATAAGTCAGACTTGACAAAGCAAGTGCTGCTGTTTGAATGCCACCGACTCAATCACAGTTTGCTTTTTTGCAAACTGTATTTTAGTAAACCTTAGATACCCCGTATAGCTCAGTAGGAAAAGACATCCTTTGCATTCAGAAATTCCCAGGCTCATTCTTGCCTACTCCACTTAAGAGGTCTGATAGCAAGAGAGCATGTTTCTATCTACTGTATCTAGTATCATCAACTCAAAAGACAAGACTAAGTAGGGATATCCAAAACACACCAATTCAGAAGTATGTAAGTCAGCTTCCTATATTTCTCCCATTACAATTCATAAACTGTTCATTGTGTTTTCAAAATCCCTTTTAACACTCAGATCAAAGGATATCTCTGTTATGTAAATAGCTTAATTTCCTTCAGAAATTAACACAACACAAATGCAGTTATACTTTCTCAGATCTTGCAGTTATACTTTCTCAGATAAGGAGAAACTTCCTAAAAGTGAGGACAATTAACCTGTGGAACAGCTTGTCTTCAGAAGTTGTGGGTACTTCATCACTGGAGGTTTTTAAGAAAAGACTGGACAGTCACCTGTCTGAAATGGTATAGGCTCTGCTGCTTGAGCAGGGGGCTGGACTAGAAGACCTCCAAGGTCTTTTCCAGTTCTATTCTGTTTGAAATCTGGTCTCTGAAAATAGACTCTCTTAAAAATTTAAGATGTAAATGGCAAATATTTTCTACTATGGTAGCCACAAGTGTAATCTTCTAGTAGATTCAGATAGATTGTTTATTACTGTATATGTGTGTGAGTTTATAAATATATGTTTGCATACAGAGAGATTGATTCAAATTAATCCACATTTTTTTCAAGATAAGGAAAGGTTAGTTAAAATAATTTCTAAATCTATAGATAAAGAGAATTTAAACTTCTTTGATTCCCAGTTGTCACTGCCAATAGTTAAAAAATGGTAGGAGTTTTAGGCCAAATATTCAGGATTGGTCCCTTGTAAAAGCATAGTGCCAGGTAAACCCAAAACTTAATTTCTTGAATTTTGAAATGTGAAAAAAAAATCAGAATTACTAATATGAATTCCTGCCTTGCATTGTATAAAGTTTCGCTTCTCTGATTCTTTTTTTTTGGGGGGGGGGTGGTAGTGGTGGTGGTGGTGGTGGATTGGTGTCTATTAATGACAGGGTTTTATATAGACAATTGCAATATTTATTTTCCATTATGCAAAACATATGACTGATATCTTCCTGGCAAATTGCTTAAAGGGAAAGAAGATGCAGAGAATAATAATAGAAATGACTTTGCAGCATCGCCAATGGAGCTGCATCCTACCACGTTTACTTAAGGGGTATGGATGTCCTTGGCTGCATTAGCTAGGTTTGATTTACTAAGCCTGGGTTATTCTGGAACATCACCTTGTACCTTCCTGGGCAACCATTGCCCATTGAGTATCCACACAGAGACAGAGCCATCCTGCATCTTAGATGGCTGAGGGATCTGATTAAGGACTAGGCTGGAAGCCAGGAGACTAAGAGTTCAAGTTCTACTTTAGCCATGAAAGCCACCTGGGTGATCTTGGGCCAGTCACTCTCTCTCAGCCGAACCCACTTCACAGGGTTGTTGTTGTGGGGAAAATAGGAGGAAGGAGTATTAAGTATGTTTGCTGCCTTGAGTTATTTGTAAAAATAATAAAGACAGGATACAAATTATATAGACAGATAAATAGATATAGATAGATAGATAGATAGATAGATAGATAGATAGATAGATAGATAGATAGATAGATAGATAGATAGATACTGTAGATAGATAAATAGGTAGGTAGGTAGGTAGGTAGGTAGACAGACAGACAGATAGATGATGGATGGATGGATGGATGGATAGATAGATAGATAGATAGATAGATAGATAGATAGATAGATAGATGTAATCTAGGTCTCCAGAAACAAGAGTACATGAGGTTGCCTTGTCAAAGCTGCTGAGAATTATCTGTTGGGTGTTTCACTTTGTTTTCATTTCTTATGCCAAAAATATTCATTTGCCATGGGGCACAAGTGTCCTTCTATCCCCAGCTTGGAGGTTGGGGACTAATTTAAGGACACCTAAAGAACATTTGGACATATGAATTTCCCCAGGACCTTTTTTCTTTTTTGCTTCCATTTTTTTTGTCAGCAGGATGTGCAAAATATTTAATAATGCTTTAGTAGGCATGATAGGCTGTTTCTCTGACTCTCAGAACATGGCAGTTGAATATTTACTAATATGGCCCTTTTCCAGGTATTTTGGATGTGTGCTAGAATGTTGGTTTAGTGCAGTGTTGGGCAAACTGAGGTCTCAAGGCTGAATGTAACCCTGAGGCCTTTCTGTCTGGCCCTCAATGACTTGTTCACCAAAATTGCCAAAAAATTGTGCTATAGTGTCCCACCATTTTGAAATGGGAAATTATATGTAAGTCCTAAAATAGGCTTAACAGTTTAAACAACAGCCACTCTCTTCAACCCTCATTCTCCCCTCCCCTCAAAAATCCAGCCTTGGCTCATTTTTCATCTTACCCCAATGTGGTCCTCATTACCCTCCTCCCATTTTAAGTACAACTCCCTCCCCCAAAAAGTTACTACTCTGAACTCTGAATTTTGCTTTGTATTTGTATACATGGGTACTTGTCTTTGGGCAAATATAGAATGGCTAACCAGAATTCAGAAATAGTGCCCTGAATCAACCAAATCAGTGGTCCTTTTTCAAAAACAAAGAGGAAGGGAACATTTAGAATGGCTTGTGGACTAGATATGTCACAAGGTATGCTGACCTAAAAAAATAAATAAAAAATAGAAGAACAGCAGTAGAAAATGAATCTCAATGCTAGGAACTTAGTAATATCATTGCTTCATATTCTTTTGCAAACTACATATTCCATGCTTCACTTTACTCTTCTGTCTCACTTCCCGGTATTAACTAAGCACATCTCTGCCCCTCTTGTTTCAGCAAATATAGCTCAAATGCATCATTGGTATGATGGAAGGGTAGTGTTGTCCCTCCAAGATAGACCAGATTAGGAAGCCAAAATCATGCATGCAAGTACTTACTTTTATATAAGATTTCAGTGACAGAATCTTTGAAATTTGAGTGGGCTTTCCCCCCTCCTTTTATTTTTGTGAGCACAACAAAGAGCCTTGTCACAGATGCTTTCTCACAATTACAGTTCTGGCCCAGACTCAGAGTTCTTTTATCTGACCATTGTCTTGGCTGCAGCTCTTCCTTCTGTTCCTCAAGGCCAGGGACAGGCAACCTTGGCTCTTTTATGACTCATGGACTTCAACTTCCAGAATTCCTGAGCCAGCATGGCTCAGCTTGGAAACCTCTCCCTTTTCCCTCAGCATGGCTGGCTCAGGAATTCTGGGAGTTGAAGTCCAAGAGTCATAAAAGAGCCAATGTTGCCTACCCCTGCTCAAGGCTATTCCTTCTTCCCATTACATTTAGTGGTTCCACTTGTGAATACTGGAAACTTTGTAACTAGCCATCTTGGAAGCTGAATCTCAGTCTTCTGTGACTATTTTTCTGTGCTACTAGTAGACTAGTCACTTATGCAATCAGCTAAATACACAAATCAGCCAGATGATTTAAGAATTGCTTTTAAATTAAGGATTAAATCAAGGAACCTCAGCCCCTGGGCCACGGACCGGCATTGGTCTGCAGTGAGCAAGAAATGGGGCCATGCAAACGAATGAAGCCCCATCCATGCATGCGTGGGATGCAGGCACCATGCAAAACCATGCTCCCCCCCCCCCAGTCCCCGGTCCACAAAAAAACCTCTCTCCACAGAACTGTTTCCTGGTGCCCAAAAGGTTTGGGGCCAACTGGATTAAGTGATACACAGGGTAAAGCTGTCATTGACAACAAGCTAATCTTAGATGTTTCTCCAGGTTTTTCCTTCTGGCTGGACAAATGCATTCAGGAGAGTCAAATGCCTCCCATCTCATCCCCCTCGAATTTGGATGTTATTCTGATCCCAATCCATATCTTTGCAACTAGAATTTGTTGCTATACAAAGGAAGGGGAGTTAGTGCATTTTTTTTCCTTCAAATGTTCCTCTCTTTGGGGACTGATCTCTGCTTTCCCAACATCACTGAATGTTCTACTTGAACATCAAAGTCAGATTGTCATATTGACTGAGCCAGCTGAGCTTAGAATTACACAGCTTTCTTTTATCAGCAGACTACATTTGTTTCTTTGGAGTTCGAAGAGAGAGTGAGACCTCACGAGACTGGAACAAATATATCCGAAGCCTCTGGTTTTTTTTCCAGATTTTCTTAAATGCTTCTGGTATTTTTCTCCCTTTCTTTCCTCTTTACGTCAGGTGGAGTAGACATTTTTTTCCCGAAGTAAATACACTTAAGATTACTGGGAAGCTTGAAAAATGTTGCACAAGAATATAATACCAGAGGTCCATAAACCACCAGTGGTTTCAGTAGAGAAGCATTAGCGTATCTGGTTGAGGATAGTAAGTGTGGGCGTCAAGGGCAATGATCTGGAGTTCAGAAAAAAAGGGAAAGTCCAGAGCAGAGCTCTGTACTGTATAGAGGCTGGCTATTTACTCAAAGTGTGTATCTTTAAAAACAAACAGAACTGCTAAAAAGAATGAAAAACTTGTTTCTTGTTTGAAAATCAAATATATACACACATATAGCAGCTTGGCTTTTTTTAATGGTATGGTTTCATTGGTAATTCCTTTCTCTTATTAATTATCAGCACAGGTAGTCCTTGACCTACAACAGTTCATTTACTGACCATTCAAAGTTACAATAACACTGAAAACTCATAACCGTTTTTCAC